ACTGTTAAATTAGTCATTCTCATTGTTCTCGAAAGAAAAAGACAAAAAATTGCGCTTATTTTTTCTCCAAATGTGTAGATTTATTTTGATAGTAATGATGTTTTTGATACTAAATGATGTTTTGGGAATGCTTAAACCAACTAGTGTTAGGCCAAGTCAGCCTTCCTAATAATAAATATATGAAGTACTTCTAAAACACTTGGCAATGAAAGAAACAAACTGCATGCTTCATTAAAGTGTAAACTGAGGAATCTGGAGGAGGAGTTATGTCACTTTTAAAAGCAGTACTGATCTCTTAAAATATTGTTATGTGAAGTTAGTCCATTTGTTTTTATTGTTTCTGTAGAGTTTTCCTATATATGAGTTGATACATACTGTCTTTATTTCTGTAAGAGAAACAAATTTTTAAAATGCTAATACGTAGCAAAGATGTTCTTCCAGTTGTATTATTTCACTACACTTATTGACTGGTTACATAATGGTTACATTAGGAATAAAGGGGATGCGATTACTGGAAAGAACCATTTCACTTGCGTGGGAATTACCTATTTTTTTTCCAGAAGACATTCCCTGAGATAGTAAATATTATTGTCCCTTGCATTTAAAGGAATTTTTGCAGTTAGTATAAAATTAGCTGATCACTGTTCACTTCAGTGCTGCTTCCTTGCAGTTTCCACAGTTTTCCGAGGTATACAACAGGTACTGTGCTAAGGTAACTCTAGATTCAGCATGTACTGAAAGTGTGTGTGCCATTGTGAAAATATAACAGATGCACCAGAAAACTATTGGTTGTTACTTTCTTGTTTTGGAAAGAATTAAAATAATAATTTTCCTTCTCCCCCTCCAAAAAAAAAAAAAATTACATGAAGTGATATTGGGAATTCATAATAAACAGGCCAGATTAGAGGTAATGCATCACCAACAACTGTCCTCTCATGAAGTGATTGTTGATTATACATAAATAATAACCTGAATTGCCCAGTCCACTCCTGGCAGACCTATGCACACTGTTTAGAAGTTTATGCCCTCATTTGTGGGGCAAGATACTACCCAGTGCGAACAAGGGAACTGGACTTTGGCCCTTAAGACAGCATATGCAAACATAGCAGTAGTTCAGCTACATGAGGCAATTTTTGTTAGCACTTACTTATCTTTTCTGTAGCTGGAAAATAAAGGTTAAGGAAGTGGTGAACTCAGATAGTGATCCTATACAATACATATGCTTGGGACATAAGGCATTTTGGGGACATTTTTTTAGATGCAGAGGCATTTACTTGTCCTATTCCCAGCATGTTTGTTGGTGATTAGATTCAACATGTTTCCCTTCACTTACTACATACTGTAGGCAAAGGGCACATTTTTTTATTCATAGACTGAAGAAAAACACTTGCTTTTTACATAGCACAGTGTTAGGGAAATAGAACAGCTAGATGAATGACTATAATCAGGCATTTTGCAAACTTTCCTATATGATATCCAAGAAGAATAGAATTAAAATAACATGGTAAAAACATTTAGTAAAATCTCTCAAGTTAAAGCACCATCAATAGTATTGAAGGGGAAATCTAACCAAGCTGATAAGAAAATACAGAGGAAAGAGGAGCAGTCAGCAGCTATGGAAACTTTCTTTTTACAGGTTAAAAATATCAATTCTCCTTTTTGTCCATAAACCACGAGGGTGTGAACAGCTAGCAGAGTCGATCAGGAAGGCATAGAACTAACTTGCCCGCTCACTTCCGAAATACTGTTGTAGCCTGGGGCAGATGTTGACACTGATGGCTTTTACGTATACCAACTCATGTAATGAAAAATTTTACTTTTTTTCTACTTTCCTTACCCCTTTGCTTGATAAGGCTAAGTGTTAAAGTTCTTACTGACTGATAAAATTGTACCCTTGAGAGGACTTATGGTTAAAGAGGGGAAAATCCCTTAGTGTATTGGTTTGGTATTCCAAGGTCTGTAATATTTGGGGAATCTGAGAGACTCAGATTAATGATGAGTACAGTAGGTAGACATCAGCAATTTTTTTTTTTTTTAGTGAAGTGTAGGCCAACAGTGCATAAAAGGTGGAGGTATAGAAAAGAAACTACACTTAAGAGAAACTTGAAGTGAAGAATGGAAAACCAAACGGGCTTCCTGAGTAGAACAGTGCCCATCCTCATCAGTGTTAAATACCAGAGTTGTTGTTCTGCTTTCAAGGACGTTCTCATTAATTTAACACAACCTATGAACAGATAATAAAGAATGTACTCCAGTAGATGAAAATTACTTGCTGCTGTGTTGTCACTATTTCATGACATTTTAGTTAATTATCCCATAATGACTTATGGCTGCATGCGCAGAGACTTGAGATAAAAAGGAGGAACTGTAGTGGCTTTAAAAAGCCATGCCAAAACATATTTCTGTCTAGAGTGGGAGGATAATAAACTCCTCAAGCTCAGTTCACTGGCAGACTACTGGGTTTGTCTTCAACTGTAAACTAAGGGATTAATCAGCCCCAATATAGCCTTGGTTATTAAACAAAAGCAGTTTCAGAATTTTGCTCATTCATGTGAAATTTCTGTAAAGGGTGAGTCTAACAGTGTCATCTTTTTTACTGTTTTATCTGTCTTTGTAACTACTCTGATGGATAGTAGGTGATCCAGGCAAAATCCTACCCTACGATGCTTTCATAGTTACAAGACCTTTTACGAGTTGTCAGTTAATAACTAAATCTTCAAGCGGTATCACCACTCTTCTGTTTTAAAGAGAAATACCTATTTGCTTCATCCTTTACTCTCCCTTTGTTTAATTGGTATTTGGGGTTAAAAATCAGATAATGAATTTCAATATTGCCCCTAGACAAACCTGTCTTTTTACAATTCAGCTATAAATCAAGAATCAGACCTAAATCTTCTCATTTGCAGTCAGTGACTGTAAAGAGAAGATACTGATTTGTCCATACAGGATATTGAAGATACTGCCACTGAATTGCTTGGTGCCAACCAAATAGCATCTCTCGAAGATGAGGTGTGCTGGTTGCACGTAACATTTACAGTAAGATAAAACTCACCTAAAACTCATATTTTCTTCTGTGTTCTCACTTTTTTGTGTTTTGCATAGTTCCCTCAATTTTTTTTTTTAAAGTAGCAACTTGTAATGTTTATCCCACTCATATAGCAATACGCGATGTAGTAAGTTCTCTTTGAGCAGGTTCTCTTTGGGTATCTTGTTTTGGAGATCGGTGTCTAATAGTGAATGAGTTGTGAATAACACTTGCAAAGAAAAATGAAGCTGGCAATTCAGGACTGGCTAATTTGTGTCTAGTCACCTGGTGCGGAGGGGGCACTAGTATTTAAATGTGCAAGCATAAACAATGCTGGAGAGCACCAAATGTGTTCAACGTAATTATTTGTACTCCATAGAAAGATTTTTTTTCCTATCAGAACCTGCTGAGAATGGCTCAGAATTGCTCTGAAAACAAAAAACCCCTTGCATATTTCAGACCTTTGTGCAAATATCCAAGCAGGTTTTGACCTTTTCCATTGAATGTGCTCGGTAGCTGCCTTAAGGCACAAGTTTTCACTCCAGGGTGTTTGTCCGGCATGCAGTATCTGTAGATGTGCGCTGAATTCGTACTGAGCGCAATTTGAGCGCTCAGGGTAAACGGCCACTGTATGTCTCCTGTGAATTGTTCTGGGCTGGCGCTCAAGGGAGGTAATATGGAGAAAGTTTTACTGCAGAATTTTATTAGAGGAGAACAGGCTCTGCAAAAGATAGGTCACCTGTAGGTAATTAGGAGGTTGTACGTGACTGTGGAGGGTAGAAGGTTAGTGAGGCATCAGAAACAAGTTTTCCATTGATAAATGTCCCAGTTCAGTGTTCCCAGCTGTCACAACCTTTCACTAATGTATGCACCAATAAAAAAGATTATTTCTAGCTTAGAATCACTGTCAAAGTGTGGTGGTTGTTCTTGTTTTACTGTCTGTTACTGGCTGTATATGTGCATGTGTACACTGTAAAATAGTTTTCTATGTTATACATGTAAAATCTTGTGTAATTTTTTTCTGCTTAAATCATGAGTCATCACGCTCTTTCTTGTTTATATGCAACATGTATAGTTCAGCAAATGTATAATACAAGAAGGTGCTGTGGTTTGTACAATACAACTAGCTCTTATTTCCAGCTTTTATTTGGCTCATAAACGCAGACCTTGGCTGTTAAGGAAATCTATACCTTCAAAATGTGTAGCAGTGAGTGGTGTCTACTTAAGCGCTAATTTAGTAGTACTTGTGAATTAAATTTTAGAATGTGTGTGTATTAACAAGTATAGCTTTCTCTTTGGAGATCAGGTACTTTAGTTCTAATTGGGTCAAATGCTCAGCTGAGATAAACGATCCTTCTTCCAGCTCTAAATATCATCTGAGTCATATCATCCAGCACAATGATGCATAAATAATTTGTATGAAAGGAAAACATGAATCAACCTATCAGATATCACTCTTAGGCCGTTTGGACTTGGCCTTTCTGAACTGAAGTGAGTCGTTGAAGCCAAAGAACCGGACAAGTCAGACTTTCTCAAAACTAGTCTCTTACCAAATCTGAAATTCCTAACAGTGAGAGGCTTGTCTGAAAGCCATTCTTGCTTTACGCTCTCGCTTTTAATTAGTGACCAACAAAAAAAAAAAAAAGAAGAAATGCATCATATTCTAACCTTATTTGTGAAAATAAGACTCCTTAAGGACTTGGACACACCAGTGAGCTAGACCTATCTTGTGCTAGCTGAACCTTAGTGAGTGATGATGGGCACATCAGTCTATGGCAAAAAAGGTGCCAAGCCGATGCTTAGGAAATGTGAAAAATAATGAAGCTTTTCGTTGCAGGAGAACATAATGAGGTCTGATGAATCTTTTGCAATTTTATTTGTTTCAGTAGGACTTGATTATATATTCTGCTTTTTAAAAAACATTTAACGTACACACTGAGTTCACTTTTTAACATTGAGATTTTTATCTTTGCAGTTTGCCGGGAAGACTCATACCAGTCGATAGTCTCGTGTGCTGCTGTAGTACTTACCCCTGTAGAACCGACAGTGGATACAAGGAAAAAAGAACAGACAAAAATGCCTGATGTGTCTAAACAGTGAGTTATTGCTTCAAATAACGTGATCTTTTATAAGTGCAGTTTAAACATCAGGCCAGATTCTTTCTTGTGCATAGCTACGTAGACCTCTCTTCTGTTTCACTGGAGGTTATGTTGGTATTTCTAAAAGCAGGAACCGGTCTGAGGCTAGGCTTTCTTTTGTTCATTAGTCTGTCTTTTCCCTGACTTTTTGTAATGAGGTGCACAGAGGAAATGGGCGCTTATACTCTTGAGAAATGGACTTTTTAATCGGCTTATTAAGATTATTCTTTTTGTATAAATAGTTCTCTTATTCTTGCACCGTTTTTTTAGTCAGCAGTTGATTTTTAGAAAGAATATGACTCCTAAATGCTAATCTTAGATATTTCAGTATTTTTGAATGACTGTTTTACTGCTGTGATATGAGCTATGATGGCATCTTCAGAAGTGTGGTAGTGGTCTTCCAAGGAAAAACTATTAAGTTAAATAGACTGTAATTTGATATCTTGTCCTGTTGCATTAGATGACAATGGTAACCACAGCATGGGTTGTAAGATTTATCTCTTTCTTAACAACTTTTATTGTTGTTAAGAAACAAGATTTTATTTCTTAACAACTGAAAATAACTTTTTTTTTTTCAGGAAAAGGAAGAAAACATAATAGAAATAAAACTTACATATCAGTAATTCTTTTTCTATAAAATCTTAGCATGAATGCTTTTTAAGTATAAAAACCAAGAACAGTGAATTATATGAGAGACCTGAAACGTAGGTGCGAATACTTGAGTCAGATTAAAATATACACACACTATCATATCTGTTACTAGCTATAATAAGGTATACTCATAAGGTATGAAATTTGTCTTCCTCGTATGCATCTAGCCTTGGTGCAAGTATGTGGCTTAAGTCTGTATCTAACTGCAACATCTTTTTCACTCTGGTGATAATGTCTCAAGTTAAAGCATCATTGCTTCCTTCCCAGCCTACCTGTATCTAAAGGTTTAACACAAATTTTGTCCGTCATCTAGTTCTTGTTGCAATGACTTCATGTTTGAAATACTGTTAGCATCTAATTACTGGCTTACTGCTGTGACTTTTGATCATATGGCTCTTGGAATACTAAGGATTTGGAAAGACAATAGGCCCCAAAATACTACATGGAAACTCAGAGTATTTTTTATGGTTACTTCAAATAGCTTACTAAGCTTTTACCTCTTCTCCACTGAAAGACAAACACGAACTGTTATTTGATTGGCTTTTTTCTATGCTATCAGCCACTTTAGCATTTCATAAACCTTTATGAATTCAAAGTAAGGCAGTTCTTGGATGCAGTTAGCGTGTGCTTGAGGACTTGAGTGGTGTCACCTCCTAGATTTTTTTCGCCCTTCACCTTATTGATATTAGGAAGTATGTTCATCTGCTATTTTCTGGTTTGTGTTTGCGTGCTTTTTGCTTTTTGTATTTTAAATCACGTTGGTGGCACATAGTCACATAAATTATGCTTATTTCATGCACTCGAGTCTCAGAAACATGCTCTGACTTCTGCTGCTGTTCCAATTTGTTAGTCTTGTAGGTCTTTGGAATTCTTTTAAAAAGAAAACAAACTTGTGCTTAGACAAATTAGACAAATTAGTATTTGAACTTCTTTGCCTAAAACAGCATCACCATATTAATATTTTTAAACCAATATTTCTTACAAATATGTGGGGAATGAAACATCTTTTCAGAAATCTTTTGCATGTTATTAGTACAGGAATTGAGTAAACTTTCAAAGCAATTGTAGGGGGATTAAAGCGTACGGATTCAAGAAAATCTCAAGAGTTATGAAACATCAGTATTCCTTTCACTTTCCTCTTCTAATTTCATCCCTGTGCTTTCTACATGTAGATTGTTTTCCCCATATCCAGTTTTAATGAAAGCAGAACAGATACCAGTTCCTTTGTCTAAATCTGCCAAGGTCATCTCTTTGTCTCCCCTGTGAATATCAAGCAAGAGGAAGCCCTTGACACATGCAGAATTGCACTGACTTGAGTGCAGAGCTGTGAGCTGATCTGCACAGATCTTTACAATATAATTTACAGTATGATTATTGACATTCCTAATTGCCTTTCCCGAAAGTAACATAGATGCTTTGATTTGTATGCTTATGTTTGTGCATCTCAATGGTTTTGATGCATACGTTTCCGAAACTGTGAATATCACAGAGGGCTGAGCAGTGGCCAGCTCTCCAGCCATTAAGTCTTGGGAAAAGAACATTGCTTGGACAGAGTATGTTTAGAGTAAGAAATGCTTTCGAAAGCTAGATGAGGAAATTTTATATAATCTAAAACAAATAAAAATGCATATTAATGTTAACAAACAGCTACAAATAACTAAAAACAATTATATTGTAAACTGCAGTAGAGCTGTATGTAAGATCTTCTGGAGGCAAGAAGCTATAAATGTAGCCTGGGGGGAAAAGAGCCTTTAATGTGAATTGTGTAATATTTGACTAATGATGTTATTTTGCCTTAGTAGGAAACTCTTCAGTGTTTTTAAATAATGTACTGTATTTGCTTAATGTAATTTTACTGTAAGTAGCAAATAAACATGCCAGAAGTGGTAGCAGCAAGGCTTAAGGATTCTTTGAAGTGTCAGTAATTAGATATTATCAGGATTGGAGGAATAAAAGGCCAATTTATTTACTTTTTTCCTGTATTTTCTCTTGAAGTTCATAAACATTTCATGAGAAAGCAATTCCTTAGCAATATGTAGGGAATTACTAACTGTTGTGCATCTTGTGCACTGTGGGCAGAATCCTTCCCTCTGTCACTCAGCAGAGGTGCACTTGCCTGAGTAATGTGATAATATAAGAATGCAGCAGCAAAGTAAGCAGAGAAAGCTCTAGCTTTCCTCAGGCCATGCAAACATCTTATCTTTAGCAGGCCTGGGAGTGGTATCCTGCTCATAACAAGCATGAAGGAGCCTGTTTGGTGAAGCTGTAAAACCTGTAGGAGGAAGGTGCGGTCCTTGTTAGGTGCTTTGGCCATTTTTCTGTGTTGCTTTGGAGGCTGCTAGAGCACAACAGCGTTTCGCTGCTCTTCCATAAAGATGAATTTTGGAATGGAGGGGCGTTTCTCTGCTTTCTCTAGAGGAGTAATGCACAATTTGTCTTATTTTCTGTGCTCAACAAAGTATGCTTTGTGTGTCCAACTGGCAGTAGCAAGAGGCCCCCCTTCATAGCTCTCAGCCTTCCACTCCCCAGCGGGCAGCGATGCAGAGAAATATATAGTCTGAATGTCAGTGCGAGGTCAGGACGAAAACAGGAACTGTGAGCTCTAGCTTACTTCTTCCTCTGCGCCCTCCACTTTGTCTAGGATATTGAATTAATTTGTTGTTATATTTTGTAGAAATACAAGACTTCAAACCCATGCTGGCTTAACAGTTCAAGTTTTCAAGGCCTGTTTGTGTTGCTGTGGTGATAATTCAGTCAGTTTCTAGTGAAGGTGCACAGATGCTGCAATAATTTGAGCAGTTTATTCTGTTTGCGTAGTCTTAACTTTAGTTCTCCTTATCTGAATTCAAATAAAAATAAATCAGCTGCTGAGGCCGAGCAATGACACGAGGAATCCTCCTTTCCGTTTCAAGTTCTTAGAGAGTGCCTGGGAAAGAAGGCAAGGCCAGGCAACTGGAAGTTATATATTGAAACAACTTAGCTTCAGCTCTGTGATCAAAGTATCAGCTGAATGCTCACACTACAAGGGACAATACGGAAATGGAAATTTCTCAAACACACCAGTCTCGGGGAAGATAATATTCTGCTGCTGTGTGCTCTTCATATGTGAACAATGAGTAAAACCTGTTCATGTGCTACCAGTGCTTGAAAAAAGTGTAGTGCAATTCGGGTGCTTAATTTTTAATTAAAAGTTAAGCAGGTGCTTGTGTCCTTTTTTTAAATGATATCCTTGGATAAGACTGTCCTGCAGTGCAGAGGAGTGATGGCAACATAGAGCTGTTTGAGCTGGCTGATTTAAAGCTGGCTTGTACATTTGTGCTTCAGCTGCAGTCACATTCGTAGATTTTGCCCTTTTTTTTTATTTTTCCCAAAGATACTGTGTCTATTGATTTGTTTTTAGAGCTACTGGTTATGTCGTGAACCAGATACTGTAATTTACCAACTGTTTGCCATATCATAAAGAAATATTTTCATGAACTTTAAGGGAAATTTCGAGATTAAGTTCTTAGGTAAATGCTACAACTTCTCTGGCATCACTTTACCCTCTAAAGAATCAAGTCAGATTTTTCTTCTGATAAATACATCAGTGCACCTACATGGTGAGTCATTTTAATAGCCCAACTGTGCTGAAGCTGTTTAATTTGTGCCTTGCAACTGTGCTTACCTGGCCAAGATGCTCATGCATGAATTCAGCTTCAAATACTAGTCTGGGAGTCACAGCAATTGATTGGGTACTTACTGGTGGACAACAGGGTAAATGGGAGAATTTTAACTTTAGTGCAATTCTATACTGAACTGTTAAGTACAGATACTCAGTTTGGGAACTAGAAAGGTTTTGGTACGTGTATGTTCCATATTGCTACTACTACTGCTAGATGTAGTAAATTTATAGCTAAGTTTAGGAGCCTTTTTTTCTGTATGAACTTGAAGTTGTAAAAATGTGATCTCGTTACATTTGGAGACTCTGGTGGTCCTTGTTGCCTTGCCTAGTTCCTTTCATAAGGAGTAGAGAAGAACCTGATGATCGTCTACTCTTCAATGCTTTCAGTTAAAGATTCTCTTTTCTCTTTTCCTTTTTCTCTCTCATTCTCTTCCTCTTTTTAATTTTTTTTTTGATATGCCTCTGGGAAGAAATTCTCCCTCAGTGTGACGATGTTGTTGTTTTACTTCTGTGTTACTCATTGCTCCTTCACAGTGACAGGAAGTGTGGTCTCTACGGCAGCCAGCTTTGTCGGATGGAAGTGTCCCCCTGCAGATTTGTATCTGGCTTGACAGTCCGTTCAGGAAGGTAGTATGGTAATATGAAA